TATAAGTCATAGTATATATATATATATATATATATATATATATATATATATATATATATATATATATATATATATATATATATATATATATAACGCAATCCACATAAATCTCAAACATACATATACATATAAGACCCTCCGGTTTGCACATAGATACTACTCAAGGTAATGTATAGTGAGAAGACTCGCCTCGTATGATGTCGAGTATACTCTCATTCTCGATATCCCTGATCTAGCCTCCTCCTATCAAAATGTTAATATCTCTAATTAATACTCTCTTTATGTTCTCATCTCTTAAGAATGGGTAGAAGACCATTATACCACTCAATGGCCTCTCTTGAATCAGTTTGTCCCAAAACCCTAAGTTCAACGGAAGTCAACTCCAGTCAATAGTCCAACTTTGACCAGACTCATCGAGTGCACTCGGGTGACTCAGCAAGTCCATGTGTGTCCTCTGAATCCTCCTAAGGCCTCACTCGACTTGTCGAGTTAACCTTTCACACGACAGGGTACCAATAGTCATGAATCGCAGGGCAACCCGATCCGACTTGTCGAGTCCTCTCATGGACTCGGCGAGTTTCCTCCATGGAAAAACTCATTTGACCTTTTGAGGTCAGATCTTTTTCTCTAACTTATAGATCTGACGTTCTAGCACCCAAAAGTCATGTAAAGGTTCATTCTTTATGTCCATGCACCAAACATCTAGCTCTATTTGATGAAATAACCCTTATAATGGTGTCTTAGGCTCAATACTCTTATGTGACTGCATAAAGCTGGGATCATGGGACTCTTTGGACCTCTCAAGGTCTAGATCTGATGTCTATGACTCAAGAGGACTTCACTTTCATCATAACATAACTTAAAAGAGGGTAAAGAAACCGTAAATTCATAAGATCTACTAACTATACGAAAATAGATAGAGATTTATACCTTAACCAACAGCTTTGAATAGAATCATAGAAGATCTAAGCCCCTCTAACAATTTAGAATGCACAATCTCCTTCTTCCTTGCAAGAATGCACCCAAAATGATGAAAATTAGCTCACTCTTTCGCTCTATGCTCTCTGGATCAATTAAGGTCTCTTAAGGGAAGTGTGGCCGCAATTGAAGGCCATAAGGACCTTTAAATAGGTCACAAACCCGGGCAATTAGGGTTTTCCTCAGTAGCGCTGACTCGGCAAGTCAGATACCCCTCGTCGAGTCCATTCATTAAACACGTCACCAAAACATGACGAGTTAAGGCACCAACTCGTCGAGTCACTCTTCATATCTCGAAATGAATACTCAAAATATTATCCATGGAAATCCGGGTGTTACACAACTCCTCGGGGAAAACGTCTGGAAACTCGCACACTGCCAGAAACTCGAAGATAGAACGAGGCCTGTCTGTAGCAAGTCGTGTATCCATCACGTACGCCAAAAATCCTATACAACCCTGCTGTAGACTCTGTCTCGCCCTTGCATCGGAGCAGAAAGCTGATCCAGATCTGGTACCTTCACCATACATTGTAAGCACTCCCCCACTAGGGTCTCGTATGGTCACCATCTAATGCTCACAGTCGATCACAACTCCAAACCGACTCAACCAATCCATGCCCGCTATGACACAAACATCACCCATCATGATCGGTACCAGGTCTATCGGGAACTCAACACCAATTAATCCTTCACATCAATAACTATGTCATTTTCAATAGGAGGAGAAGGAGGAGGAAGAGGAGGAGGTTGAGCATAGACATCATCAGTATGGTTAGTTTTTAACTGTGATATGCTTTCTGTTGTTGCTTGTTTGTCATTGTGATTTAAGGATTTGATTGTGTTGGTTATCATTACTTACCTATTTTGTTGTTGAGATGGGATCTTCAACAGATTCCGAAATGAAATCAGAACGTGGGTGGTTATTTCAGTGAAAGATGGCCTGAGCATAGGGTTCGGTGTCCAACACAATCCTGCTCCATTAGTCTTCTCCATTCCCCATCATAATCCCTTGGAATAGAAGAGTTAATTTGTTTGTTTGTTTGGTATGATGGAATGAAAAAACTATTTAGTGTATTTAAATCATTCCTTATCAAGAATTTCATGATTTCTATTAAATTATATATTGTATTCTCTATAAGTAACTAACCACAAGTCTACTAGTATATGATTTTTAAATAGAAGAGTGTCAAAACTATACCTTGATTTTACATTCCATTCCTAAACATTAAACAACTAAACATGATCATGGGATGTAATGATTTGTTTCTTTCCATCCAACAATAGTAATAATCTATATATCTATCATATTTTAATACTAACTAACTAGATTCCTTTTAAATATAAAGTCCCAAATAAATCTCAAAATATTTGATAATCCCCACTTATTGTTGCACCATAGTGCATGTTTTCATAGGGCTCCTCACCAGCCAGGATCTCCGCTAACACACTTCCAAAAGAGAGCACATCAACCTGTTTGTTAAATGTTAATTGTTACTTTTTATGTTACCAAAAACACAAAATAGTATATGGTGATAGAATGAAACAATAATTGTTCTGATTGCCTTCTCAGATACTTTATTGCTGCTACCATTTAGCAGCTCAGGAGCCATCCATGGCAGGGTGCCCCTAACTCCACTTGAAACCAAAGTGTTGCGCTTCATCTTTGATAGTCCAAAATCACCTACCTGAAATATATATATATATATATATATATATATATATTTATTTATTTATTTATTTATTTATAATAAGAAAAAGAAAAACTACATAGATAGGTAAATAGATAAGGTTGTTTTACCTTGCATATAGGCCGTGATGGATTTTTCATATTGACAAGAAAGTTGTCACATTTGAGATCAAATGAACAATTTTATTGGAATGTAAATAGTCCATCCCAAAGGCTGCATCCATTGCAATTATAAGCTTCTTGCGATGCTCCAGATGCCTATACATAATGTTTTTAAAAATTAAAAAATGAAAAGGTATAATAGATTGATTGATTGAGTTGAAGACCTATCTTTGCTAAGTAAGACACGCCTTAAGGAACCCTCAACCATGAACTCTGTGACTGTAGCTAATGTCCCTACTGGACCATCTTCTACTATACCATAAAATGCCACAACATTTGGATGGTGAATCTTTGACAGAATCTCAACTTCTTGTCAGAACTCTATCATTGTTTATAATAATAATACTAATAATAATAATTGGTGATTTTGATTAGTAAATAAATACTAAATAAATAAATAAATAAATAGAGTGAGTACCAATCTTTCCTGTTGAGATGATGGGCCTGCTACAGTGGTAGAGGGTGACAACCACCACCTCACGAAGGTGGTGGTGGTTCACTTCCGCTTTTTGATCATGCATGACACATCCATTTGTTGCTCGGGAAATGAGCAAAATCACCCACCTTACAGCAGCAAATAGCGGCAGTGACTTGGAGTGGTTGCAGCGGCAACAATCGACAATATCAACTCATCATCAGTAGCAGCCTCCATGGTCGGCTGCCATGGTGGTTCTTCAGGACTCCCACTGGACAGAAAACCACACTCACACATGCAACCTCATCACAACCACAAACCACCACCGTCTCCATGGTTGTCGGTGTTTGGTCCCTTTGACTAAACACGATAGGTGGTGGCAGGATTCGTAGAAGAAGGCCACTGTAGCGGGGAAGGGAGAATGTGCCTTTACTTCGAAAACTACGTGAATGTATAGGCAACGTGGAAGACCTTACATTCATATATGATAGGGCTCCATCCATAGCGAGGCCAATTACAAATATATTTCCTCACACCTATCATGGAATATGTGGTATCCATTTGTATTTCAACATTTCAGCAAAACTTAGAAGCAGCGATACAATACATACATTATTTTGGGAGACATGCAAAGCCTATACTATTAAAAAATTCGATAATGGGATGAAAAAAATAAGAAAAGGTAGATGATCATGTATAGGAATACCTACAAAACATCAATCCAAAAAGATGGGTCATGTCACATTTTCCTGGGAATCGGTATTTTTTTATGACATCAAATAGTGTGGAGTCGATAAATTCAATGTCAAGATTTCCAAGAAAAATGCCAATATTGATGTTGATTGAGTATTTTCGTGCAACAATGCAACAATGGAGTTTTCAGAAACGTAATGTTGCAGGTACTAATATTTTACATATAATAGTATTTGAAATGTTATTTTACTACTCATAAGATATTATGATATTATGCCTATTTTTTTAGCTGAAGCAAAAAGAACACTCACCCCATGGGCTGAAACGATTATACAAGCAAATAAGAATGCTTGTAATAATTGGATGGTGTACCCTATCTCAAATAGTAGATTTGTAGTGAAAAGTTTTACTCATAAAAGTGTTGTTGTTGATTTCCAACAAAGAACCTGTACATGTAGCCGGTGGCAAATAGATGGCTTACCTTGTGGCCATGTCATAAAAGTGCTCACAATGAGCCGTTACAAAGACTGTTCGGAATTTGATTTCAAAGCATACTTTATAGAGACACTGAGGAAAAATTACGAGGAGTCTGTGAACCCTTTACCAAGTCCATTGGAGTCTAAGATCCCCGGTGATTTGATGATTGTGAAGCCACCCATGATGGAGATGCGTCAGCCGGGTAGGCCAAGAAACATTGACCGTATTCTGTCGCAAGGTGAGCGTCCCATATGGCAAGAATGTTCTACATGCGGTAAATTTAGACAAACGAGGAGCGATTGTACGAGTAGGGGATCGAGGAGCGGAATATCACAAGCTACCGTACACATTCAACGATAGCGTGCCCATCCATAACTCACCAAGTACCAAATGATGTAGGTTGATGCATATTGAAAAATAAACATGTTTTAACACACAACCGTTGCAATTAATTAGAACGTTTAATTAGTGTAATATGACAAATTAATTGAATATATATATAATATTTTTACTCACACAATCAACTTCTAGCCAAGATTTACATCCATCCAATGGGTCAATCGGATTTCCCATTGCACTTCCTCCCCACTAGAGCATCTCAATGCACCGAAATAACGATGACATGATTGTCCATCGATCATCGTTTGGTCTCCGCTCATTCAAAAGCCTTACCTATATGTCAACATGTTGTAGTTAAATTTAATTTAAACATAAGTAGATTATAAATTATTTAAAATTTATATATAAAGAAATGTTTTCATACCGATTCATCTAAAAATCCCAAGTCAGTTGCACAAAACAGCAGATCCCAAAGCTTTGCTTCCATTTTTTCATTGTATAACTGATGTTTCATAAAAACAGCCGGTTTGTTTTCCATGTATAGAGAAAGGGCGTTACAACCCTGCATCACATATGACTCCAATAAAAGTGTCGGGGGATCGCTAACAGATATGGGGGGAGTGGGGGGGGAGGGGGGGAGGTGGTTCGTTGCGTATTACCCCACCAGTACTATATCGGTGGACATTTTGAACCTACATTATATACGTAGTCAATAACTATCCATATAGTAATAAAATTTTAGTAAATATAGTTTTTAACATACTTACCGAAACGTATGGAGAGCTAAGGTATTGAGAATGTTTCAATACTCTACTCGGACGACTTGGTTTTACAATAGGAGGCTCGAGTATATGATTTTTCGCATCCACAATGTCGCTAGCAACAACCTTCTTTTTCTTCTTTTTCTACAAAAAACATATTAATTTTTTTAATATACTTTCAGAAAATAAAAAATTTAATATACAAAAAAATTATAACCTCCTTCACGATTTGTTTTTGTTTTCTACAATCAAACTCTGGTTGATTATCAACATCATCATCCTCATTTACTCGATTTGATTTCCGTGAATTACCGAATTGTTGGCCCACCTGGCTTAGCATCCAATAATTACCATCTACATTCTCACTTCTCTACATTTAAAGAAAAAATAATTAATAAAAAATCAAAGCAAATTTAACAATTAATTATTTTACCTCAAAAGCTTCGTTAAAAATTGATAGTAAATTTCTAAAATTAATTATTTTACCTCAAAAGTTTCGTTAAAAATTTCTTCCAATTCATCCTCTTCTCGAAATCCCCCTTTATTTTTCATTCATCGGATTTCTTACTCCAAAGATTGAAGTCTTGCTAGTATTTCTCGGACTGTTCTTTTGTTAATTCCCACCGTATGAGTTTGTTCGGTGGACTAGGTAGATTGGTTGTTTCCACATGATGGATCAGACGAAGATTCCCTGACATAAATTATTTGATATATCAATAATAGTTGAAAAATATTAATATACTAGATTATACTTTTACCATTTTACTTACATCTTTTCTAAAGTTATAACGTACGAAAGAAGGGTCCAAACCCTAAAAATTAGGGTTTGAGTTTTTGCCACGTACACCCAGCGTACTAAGCGTACGCCCAACATATGTGATAAATTCCGAATTTTCACTTAAATGTCATTTGTGACCAATTTGCAAACAATTTTCAAACTCAAGGTCAAAATGTAAACACCTAGAAATCGAGGTGTTACATGTTCATATGAAAATCCGAATTTTCACTTAGATGTCATTTGTGACCAATTTGCAAACAATTTTCATACTCATCGTCAAAATGTAAACACCTAGAAATCGAGGTGTTACATGTTCATATGAACCAAATGTGTTTGCTTTTCTTATTTTTTTCCTACTCATAACTATTGTTTTTTGTTAATATAATTTAAACTTCCTTTTTTTATTTCGAATTTTCACTTATATGTCATTTGTGACCAATTTGCAAACAATTTTCATACTCAGGGTCAAAATGTAAACACCTAGAAATCGAGGTGTTACATGTTCATATGAACCAAATGTGTTTGCTTTTCTTATTTTTTTCCTACTCATAACTATTGTTTTTTGTTAATATAATTTAAACTTCCTTTTGTTATTCTTGGGACGAACATTAGTAGTGATCTATATCGAAATGACCCATAATCCAACACATATGTTCTAACCAAGTAGTAATACACTAGCAACCAGAGCAAAGGTGCGATGGAGCCAAGACACACTTGAGTCCAAAGTTACATTGAGGCAAAGAAGGCATCCTGTCTTATTTGAATTAAGGATAACATACCACTCACGATCACCTACAAAAACATATATGACAAAAGTAACAATTCACCCCCAAATTCTTTCAACACTACAAATACCTCTTCCATATAAGTATCACCAAGTAAGAATTCACTCCCAAATTCTTTCTAATATTCTAATACAATCTCTCGAGTAATACACTTTAACTTTGACATTATAACATAATCCGAAGTTGCGGCCAGATTACGGCTGGCCATAGTTCTTCCTTTATGATCAATAAGTATCAGAGCATCCAAATGAAGTAAGAAGACTCTAGTTTATAATTAGTCTCACCTCAAGCCTTTACCTCGAGGACTTGGTTGTATAAACATTATGTTTTAACAAGGAAAATGATACATATAGTCGTGTAGGATGCGGTTAGAGTAGTGTTGTTTTGTGGCATCAATATTGAGGATGGTGATTTTTGGCTATCATACGTGTTTTTATGCGGATGATACCATATTTTTGGTGAGTGGAATCGAGATAACATCCTTAACTTAATTGATACTCGCTCCGTCCCACAATTATGGTCCATCTTTCCTTTTTGGTTTGTCCCAAAATAATAGTCCACTTCTAAAAATAAATAATATTTTTACCAAAATACCCCTTCATTATTACTTAACTAACTAAACATTTAATTGAACATTAAATGCAAAGTAAGGAAAAAACTATCATTTTGTTGTATAAGGTTAGTAATAATTAATGTTTTTTTTTTTTTTTTTTTTTTTTTTTTTTTTTTGAATGTCGCAAAATTTTATTAAGTCGATTGAGAAGTTGAGATAAGGTTTTTTCTAAGGAGGAGGGGTTTGAAAGAAAACTTTATTAGGTCAAATGGGATGCATATGTTATATCAAAAACTAATTTAAATCAACCGGTATTTAAATGAATCTAGGTTATTTTTTGTTACTTAATTTTTGGTTTTGTGCTTATTTAGTCATTTAACTCTTTTTAAGTTTTAAAAAGTCATCAAACTTTTGGCTTTGTGCTTATTTTAATCACTTAACTTTTTGATTGGTCACATTTAGTCACCTAACTTTTAAAATTATGCTAATTTAGTTACTAAACTTTTAATTTTTTTTTAAAGGTTTAGTGATTAAATAAGCATAATTTTAAAAGTTAGGTGATTAAATGAGTACAAATCTAAAAGTTAAATGATCAAAACAAAAGTTTAGTAATTAAATTAATACAAAGTCAAAAGTTTGATGATATTTCAAAACTTAAAAAAAGTTAAGTGATCAAATTAGTACAAAACCAAAAATTGAATAACAAAAAATGACCTAAACCCTATTTAAATTGTATGTTTTCAAATATAGAACCAATATAATGTTTCTTTAGTAACGTACTAACACAATGTTGTAATTTTAGTTTTAAAATTATTCATAACATAAATTATTTTACAAAATTAATTAATTAACTTTAATATTATTTATTTAGACATTATACAATTAAATTGCAAGGTGTAATATATTGATAAATTTATTATAATATTAAAATATATTTTCAATGTTAACCGTAAACTTTTATTGTTGGAAAAAAAAGTGTAAAATTTACTTCGAATATTGATTTAAGTGTTAAGGCTTATTGGTCTTTTTTTTTATATCATAAAAAAAAAATAAAGAAAAAACCAAAGTTTTAGTAAAAAGAATCGCCTCCATTTATCATATATTAGTTTATATAATCTGTGGTAACCACGGTTACAAAATTAATTAAAATTTTATAGTAAAAACTATAAATTATTCATTAATTATTTTAAATAAATTATTAATTAAGATTTTTTTTAACTATATAAATTTTAATTTTAAAAAAATATATAAAATTATAGCATTTTAAAATTTATATTAATTTTATTTTAATTTTTATTCTAATGTTATTAATTTAATGTAATTAGAATGAAAAATTTGAAATTTAAAATTTGAAATGGAGTTAACAAATAACACTTTTAATTAGGAGAAATAATAAAATGACACATGACAAAATGAGAAATAATAAAATGACACATGACAAAATGAGATCTCCCTATACTAATAAAAGAATAATTATTTTGTCATGTGTCACTATATTAGATCTTTTAATTAATGTGTTGTCACTTGTCAATCTATTAGTTCTCTATTTTAAATTTATTAGATCCTCTCATTAATGTGATGTTATTTTCAATGTATTTATTCTCTATTTTAAATTAAATTTTAAATTTTATATTATTGTTTTCATTAATTCACAAAAAAAATCTAATATATATTAAAATTATTTTTATATATTTATTTGAATCAATAATTATAATTTCACATAACTAATAAAAATATCTCTTAACTAGTAATTTATTTAAAATAATTGATTAATAATTTTAATTTTTTTATTATAAAAATTTAATTATTTTTATAACCGTGATTCCCATAAATTATAAACTAGTTAAAATCATTAGGAGTCCATATAAATTTTATATGAGAATAAAACTATTTTCTTTTAATTAGAATAGAGAATTCGCCCGATTCGCCTTATTAGCAGCTGAAGCCCAAACGCACAGTCGATTGGATTCACAGCTTATGTTTAATTCAGCCCAACAACCGCCGATCGCCCTCCCGCACCCTCCGGAGCTCCGACTCCGTGGCCATATTTTGGTCCACGAAAGATGTTCTCACTTTAGCATTTGTTCCAAGGTTTATACCAGACGACGAAGCAGAAATTCCTCAATCGATTCTAATCGCTCTTTTAAGGTTTGGCTTCTCTTTGTTCTCTATTATCTAATTGACGTATTTACTCCTGTTGCCTTTTGATTTTCAATCTTTGCTGAATTTGCACAAGAACAACCTCCATTTTTTGTTTTCGCCTCCTTGTTTCCTTTAAAATCCGACATTTAGCGGATTATGTAGGTGTATAATCGAGCTTTTGGATGCTGAAGATCTAACTAATTTCAATTTCTTTTTGGTGTTTGAGTTTAAACTCGAATTAGTAATCCCAAATGTATTTGTATATATGTATATGTATCATTCCCAATGCGCCAAAAAACTTGGTATAAAAACATCAGATTTAGGGTATATAGAGTTCCTTCAAAGAAAATCGATTGCTAATATAAACCTAAAACTGCTAAATTGTGATTTGTGCTTCTCAATTCACTTTGTAATTGGAGATCCAAACACCCCCATGAACTGTTATGCTTGTTAATGGAGATTCATTAGCTGCAAGTTGATCTTAACAAATCTTTACTCATTTTACACAATCCAATGATGTCTATTTTATTGGTATACAGGGAACATTTCAAAAAAAGGTGAAAGTATTGATTATTAAAGAGAAGATGCAATGGGAAGTTCAAGGGCACAAAAGTTATCTGGTATTCAGAAGCAAGTTCTTTCCCTATACAGATGTTTTCTCAGAACAACACGTTCTAAACCAATTGAAAATCGGGCCCACATGGAATCGATTATATCAGGTGAATTTCGTAAGAATTCAAAACTTATAGATCGCAAAGATTTCCTACATATTGAGTACTTGCTTCGTAGGGGTAAAAAGCAACTTGATCAGCTTAAAACTGTTGATTCTGTTACCTTATCTTCATCTAATCTAGACTCTACAAAATCATAATCACTTCCACCTCTTCTTTGTATCTGAAATAAATTTAAAGAAAGTATAGCATACAGTTATGTTTCTGATTGGGTTAAGCTTGATTTTCTATTGAATGAGTATGTATAAGACATGGGTTCATGTGTTACATTGAGTTTAGAGCTTATTATGAGGTTTTAACATTTATCACTTATCAGTTATCAAACTACTTAATTTGGTTTAAGGGTGTAACTGTTATTAAAATGTATTTGAGGCTTCTTATTCCTCCATTTTTGTTTCTGTGTGATTTGTCTAAAGTGGATTTCTGTAGCATTCAATAAGCATTATCTGTGAAAATTTACAAGAGTTTTATATATAGTTAAGTTGTTATTTTGGTAGGGAACATTAGGTGTTTGATAAAATGCCAAAACAAAGCAATGCTACCAGTTGGAAAGATGGTTTGTT